GAACCAAGATGCATTATGTAAAGGTACAATTCCCAGTGAGAAATGTAATTGTGTTGTATACCTACAATGTACCAATAAAAGAATTTAACAACAACAAAAAAGTTTTCAGTGAATTATTCTAATACCTGTGTTTTCTTATGAGGTACTTGCAATGCCTCAGTAAGTAATCTTTTGAAGGTCGACACAATTTCAGTGACCAGAAGTCATCAAGTCTCATCTTTGGAGAACAAGATTTTCCTGGATTCCCACCAAATAAGTAATGAACCTATAATAAATAAAACAAACCAGATTTTTAAAAACTCATACAAATATTATTCCATTATCCAATTACCAAAAATGTAAAAAGAATATAATAATCACTTCACTATTATATTAGACTTTAAATGTTATTCCACACCTATACAAAGCTTTAAAGCATTTCCTGAAATTCTGAAAACATTTATATCCACTGGAATTATACAGTAGAGATATTATTTCTATCCTTTAGATGGAAATTCATTTAATACCTTAAATTGGGAGAAAGAACTTTTATTCATTCCAATGGTATCTTTTACCTAGAGCTCTCAAGCTGTACAGCACAGACTAAATAACCATCTATACAGCCTAAACAGAATCAGGATATATTGGTAAATTTCTATATAATCTGAATCCAAGCACTAAAGTACACAGTAAATTTAAGGGAGAGCCGGGGATTTAGTTCAGTGGCACTGTGCCTGCCTCATAAGTGCAAGGTTCTTTGAGTTCAATCCCTGATACCTAAAAAAAAAAAAAAAAAAAAAGTGAGAAAACAAGTTCCCAAAAGAAACAAGGATAAGAATGACACCAAACTTTAGGGCCAGGGATGTAGCTCATTGGTGCTTCTCCTACCTGGCAAGCACCAGGTCCTGAGTTTGATCCCCGGTACCAGAAGAAAAAAAAAAAATTCCCCAATTTAAGGAAAGAACAGTTAAAGAAATTGAAGCAGGAAACAGTGAGGACTCTGGCACAGATAACTCTTTAACATGAAGACAGGAGCAAAAGCAGCTTTTAATGATGCCAGTGGCTCAGTGATTGACTCCAGTCAAGTCTAGAGAGCCCCTGAATAGAAGTTTGCACTTCTTTATATACCTCTTTTTACATATACAAGGCTTAATTCCATTGGCGTTTCCCTGGGAATATAGCGAGCAGGATTTACACAAAGCAGAGCAGTGAAAAGAGGGAGAGCAAAGAGTTCTGGCAGGATTTTCTAAGTCTGTTATGCTCCTTTAGTGACAGATTACAGAAGCTGTCATGGCTACTCAGGTACATTCTACAAAGAGCATGGTTACCTAGTTAACCTATAGTTGCCTAATAACACAGTTAACCCATAGGTGACTAATAATATAGTTAACTCATAGTTGCCCAATTCCATACGGAGGGGTGGTCTCTTCTCCAAACCACTCTGAATGCTTGGTGATACTAAAAATTTCAAATGCAATACCATTTTCACAAAGCTGATCAAAAATAAGTCACTCATATATAGGAAAATATAGATAGGATGACTTTTTATATAACAGGGAAATTATATACCAGGAAGTTATATACTTGTCCCACCTCTTTCAGATCAGAGGTCAAAGTACTCAAATGCTAAAAACTGCATTTTTGTTTTGTTTTGGTGGTGGTATTAGGCCTCACACATACTAGGCAAATACTATTACTGAGCTAGAGAAGCAGTCAATGACTATTTTCAAAAGAGGAAAAATACCAAGAATTAAATTATGAAAAAATACTCTTTTTTATTGGTGTATATTAGCGATACAGAATAAAGAGATTCATTTGGGTATATAGGTACCTTCATACAACATTTTGATTAATTTCATTCCTATTACCTCCTCTCCTTCAACTTCTTCCCCATCTCTAAAAAGTCTACTCTCTAGTTTCCTCTAATCTTTTTCCTTTATTTAAAATTTATCTTTATATGTTTATATAAGAGAAAATATGCAATATTTAGTTTCTGAGACTAGTTTATTTCACCCAACATGATAGTTTCCAGTTCTACTCATTTTCCTACTTTCTCCACCCCACCCCACCCCAACTTCGGGACTTGCTAAGTACTTCAAACTGGTCTTTAAGTCATTATGTCGCCCAGACTGGCCCTAACTCACAGTGATCTTCCTGCCTCAACTTACCAAGTGCTGAGATTACAGGCCTGTGCCACCACACCCAGCTCCACTTTCATACTAATGACATGATTTTGTTCTTTATGGCTGAGTAATACGATAGTGTTTTTGTATGTGTGTATCACATTTTCTTTATCCACTTATCTGTTGATAGGCATCTAGGCTGTTCCCACAGCTTATTATGAATTACATCTACAAATGAGTAATTTTTCTCCTTCCCTATTTATATCCCTTTCTTTCTTTCTCTTGCCAAAATACCCTGGCTAAAGTTTCAAGTACTGTACTGAACAGAAGTGGTGAGAGTAGACATCCTGGTCTCATTCCTGATTTTAGAGGAAATGCTTTGTTTTTCTTCATCCAGTAGGACCCTAGCTGGAGATTTGTAATGTATCATTTTTATCAATTTGAGGAAAGACCCTCCTATATTTTCTTCAGAGTTTTTAAACTGAAGGAAAATTAAATTGTCAAGGGCTTTTTCTGCGTTTGTTGAGATGATCATGTGGTTTTTACCTTTTGTTCTGTTTACATGGCACACTAGATTTGTGACCTAGATTTACTGACATGTTTGAACCATCCTTGTATCCCTCTGGTGAAACCAACTTGGTCAGAGGGTATGATCTTTTTAATGTGTGGCTGAATTTTGTTTGCAAGCATTCAATTAAGTTTTGTACCTCTGTTCATCAAAGATTCTGATCTTGGCATCAGGGTAATGCTGCCTTTGTAAAAAAAAAATCTGGAAGCATTCCTTCTCTTTCTGTTTCAGAGAAAAGTTTGAGGAATATTGATATTAGATCTTTCCTAAAAGTCTGGTAAAATTCAGCAGTAAATCTACTGCATCTTGGGCTTTTTTTCACTTGGCAGAGTGTTTATTATTTCAATTTCATTGCTTGTCACTGATCGGTGTAGATTTTTTTATATCTTCTTGGTTCATTTTGATAGGTTATATGTTGTTTTTTTTCAGTACCGGGGATTGAACTCAGGTCCTTCACACTGAGGTACATTCCCAGCATCCTCCCCGCAACTTAATTTTTTGAGAAAAGGTCTTCCTAAATTGCCTAGGCTGAGATTATTGGCTATTATAGGTTTGTGATCCTCTTGTCTCAGTCTCTGAGAGTGCTGGGATTATAGATGTGTGCCAACATGCCCAGTTCAGCCAGTTTTGCTGATGTTCACAATCATAGTTTAAAATTTTCTCTTAGAACTGTTTTCATTGTATCCTGCAGATTCTGATATGTCATGTTTTCATTATCATTGCTTGTAGGAATTTCAAAATTTCTTCCTTGAAGAAATTCCTTGCCTTCCTTGCCTTCAATGACGCACTGTATGTATTATTTAATTTCCTATGTTTGTGTAGTTTCTGTCATTACTTTTTTTTTTTAAAGTACTAGGGATTAAATCCAGGGCCTATGCACTAAGCTATATCTCAGCCCCATTTTTGAGACAAGGTCTCAATAAATCACTAAGTTGCTCAGGCTAGGATCAAATTTGGGATCCCCTTGCCTCAGCTTTTTTTGTTTTGTTTTTTGAGACAGAGTCTCACTACATAGTTCAGGCTGGCCTTGAACTCACTATGTAGCCCAGGCTGGGCTCAAACTCACGGTGATTCTTCTGCCTCAGCCTCCCAAGAACTGGGATCACAGCTTTATGCCAATACACCTGGCTTCTATGGTTACTTTCTGATTTCCACTTTCTGTGCATTGTGATCTGATATGATGCATGAGATTATTTCAATTTGTATTTATTAAGATTTGTTTTATAAGGGCTGGGGATTTAGCTCGGTGGTTCCAGCACCTGCCTTGCAAGCGCAAGGTCCCAAGTTCGATCCCTGGTACCAAAAAATAAAAAATAAAAAATAAATAAAAACCTACCGTAAGTGCTAATATAAAAAACTTATTTTAAAAAAAAAGATTTGTTTTATAGCTTAAAATACATTTCACTTTGTAGAAAGTTCTGTGGGCTGCTGAAAATATATTTTGCTGCTGTTGAATGGAACACTCTGAGATGTCTATTAAGTCCATTTGATCTATACTGTATCTATAGTGTACTTTAACTCTGATTTTTTTTTTTTTTTTTTGGTCTGGTTGACCTATTTATTTGTGAGAATAGGATATTGAAGTCACCTACTAGGACTGTATTGGTCTACCAGATCTTTTATGTCAAGCAGTGGTGTTTTATTGGTATGCATTTATCACTGTGGTGTGATGTCTTTGACTCCTGGGATGGTAGCTAGAAGGGAAATAGCTGAGTCAAATGAAATTTCTATTTATAGTTTTTTGAGGAATATCTATACTGACTTCCATAGTGGTTGTACTACTTTACATTCCCACCAACAATGTGGAAAGGTGCCTTTTTCCCTGTAGTATCACCAGTATTTGTTACTGTTTGATTTTTTGATGATGAATATTCTTTTTGGAGTAAGATAGAATCTCAATGTTGTTTTAATTTGCATTTCTCTGATGACCAGAGATGTTGAACATTTTTTCATGTATTGGCTATTTGTACTTCTGAGAAGTGTCTATTCATTTTAGTTGCCCATTTTTTGACTGGGTCTTTTGTTTGGGGGACATCTGACTTTTTTTGAATTCTTTGTAAATTCTAGATATTAGTCCTGTTCAAGAAGTAACTAGCAAAAGACTTTTCCCATTCTGTAGGTTGTCTCTTCACTTTATTGTTTCCTTTGGTGTATAGAAGCTTTTTAATTTGATATAATCCCATTTGTTGATTCTCGATATTATTTCGTATACAACTGAGATTCTGTCTAGAAAGTTCTTTCCCATGTTTATGTCTTTAAGACATTTACGTATTTTATCTCCCAGCAGATTAAATGTTTTGATTTTAATATTTATAACTTTTATCCATTTTGATTTTCTTTCGGTGCATGGTGATAGCTTAGATTGAATCTTCTGCATGTGTGTAACCAGTTTTTCCAGCACTAATTATTAAAGAGAGTATCTTTCCTCAAGCATAAGCTTTTGTCTCCTTTGTCAAACATCAGATGACTTAATGTGCCTGGGGTTGTTTCATCCTGTTCTGTTCCACTAATCCAAATGTCTGTTTTTGTGCCAGTACCATGTTGTTTTTATCACTGTAGCTTCATAGTACATCATGAAATCTGGAATTGTGATGCCTCTTGCTTTGTTTTTATTGATCAGGAATGTCTGTGCTATTCTCGGTCTCTTCTGGTTTCACATAAATTATAGGATGGTTTTTTCTAGTTCTGTGAGGAATGCTATTGATATTTTGATTGGTCTTACATTAAATCTATTCTTCTGACTAATTTTAGTTTGAAGTCTTTCTAGGATATAAATATAGCTACTCCTGACTGCTTTCAGACTCTAGCTACTTGGACTATCACTTTCCATTCTTTCACTTTCAATCTGCATTGTGTCTTTGTAGATGAAGTGTGTTTTTTGGAAGCAAATCTTGTTTTTTGATCCAACCTGCCAGTCTGTGAATTTCACTTGAAGAATTAAGAACCTCCTCATTAAGTGTATTTTATAGAAATGTATGCACTAATTTCTGTCATTTTGTTGTTTTTCTAGTGTTTGATTCATTCCTGATTTTTATTTGTTCACATACGGTTTATCCTTTCTCTTGGCCCCTTGGTTGTGACTATCTTCTTCTTAAAAACATTTATTATTTTAAAAATTTTTAGGGAGAAGTGACATTGAATGCCTGTTACACATTCTACTAAATGTTTGCTATGCATTATAACTTTGTATTCAAATCCATTTAAAAACAGTCAGAAACAGATATTCAGAGATTCCTGCATATTTCAGGCCATAGAAAGTTTATAGGTCAAAGTAGTTAACATACCTTGTGTAACTCATCATAAACAAGCTGATGGGCAAATCTTGGACATGGTTCTTCCTCTTGTAGACTTTTACTTGGATTATCTTTTGCAGCTTGATCATTCTTATAGACACAAGACCTACAAGACAGTGCTTTTAATTGCCAATTTCCAATTACCAACAGAAAAGATTACATATTTGTTCACATCAAAGACTAAAGTCCTGCTAATGTTCATAAAATAACTTGAATTTGTTAGACCTGAGTTCTCAAGTTCTTTGGATAGCTGTCAAATAGTTCCCTTTAAAACAACCAATAAGACACAAACAACACACATGCAGGGTCAAATTGAAGGTCAAAGAAATGCTATACTGTTTATTCACAACAAAGTGATACATGGTACAGTGTTCTGAACATAAGTAAATGTCATATTTAGAAAAAATTAAATTCCTTAATTGTTGAGCACTACTATCCTTTACTGAATGGAGTATGTTCTGTGAAGTGTTTCTGTTCCTTAAAAATATTCACTTATGCAGCAATCATAGAATGTGAGACCTGGATCCTCTAGGCCAGTGTTTACTAAAGCAAATCATGCAGTAATAGTTCTGTGAGATACTCTGTGAGAAAGGGTCCTGGTTTGGAAACAGTAAGTACTAATGCCCCCAATCTGCTCTAGATACACCTTATCATAAAAACTAAGATCTGGGACATTAAAAAAAAGCATTATTTCCTTGTTCATGTATCTACTTTGTAGCAATACAAATGACTCCCTGACTGAGAACTAGTTGAAGGTAAAATTCCATTTAGTCAACATCACTGTACATAGGGGTACCAATTCTGCTTATGATACTTATTTTTTTTAAAATATTGATTTCTTGGGGTCGGGGATTTAGCTCAGTGGTTCCTCCACCTGCCTTGCAAGCACAAAGACCTGAGTTTGATCCCCAGTACCAAAAAAATATATATACATATTGATTTCTTTTAATATTGACCTTTAAATTTACAATGTAAAAAATTAGTATAAGCCTTCCATTTCTCTCATCTTTTGCACTAATATTCCACTGGGAAATTTGATAGGATTAAATATGTTTATATTTCCTTAATGTTTTTTTTTTGTTTTGGTACCAGGGATCGAACTCGGGACCTTGTGCTTGTGAGGCAGGCAGCGTCTCTCATCTTTTGAATAAACAACCTCACATAAATATTACATTGGGATTGCCACACAGACAAGAGTTCCTTACCAACTATTCCTCACAATGTCATAAATCCAGAATGAATTTCTGACATTCTCTTCTCTCTTTTCCTTGTCTTTGCTGAGCCCAGATAAGACATGTATTTCATTTAGTTCTGGATCTATAGTTGCTCTCTGTGTGAATCCTGTCATTGGAACTATAAATTGAAGGAAAAATAAGATAACAATCTTAACATTAGATAGCAGATTAGTACTAACTCTTTAAAAGATTATACACCTTTATCCTGTTCTACGTGTCTACAATTCAAAACATAACTTGTTTTATTAAACAGCCAACTGTTCACTGTCTTCTAAACTCCAACTATTATAAGTTATAGAAAGGAAAAAAAATTGGTGGGATGTACTAAGGGAGGGTAATAGGGGGAATAGGTATGATCAAAATATGTTTTATGCATGTATGAAAATACCACATTGAAACTCAGTATTTTGTAAAATTGAGACACTAATAAAATATATTTTTTAAAAGAGAAAGTAAGCTCCACAAAAGCAGAGGTTGTTTTATTTACTATTTTCATCTCAGTGCCTAGAATAGTGTCTGGCATAAAATAATTATTCAACTATTTCTTCAAAGAATAAATCAACATCAACTACCAGAATGAAATTACAGAGAGCTCAGACATGTGCAATGTATTCTTTACCACCACATTCATACTGGCTTCACTACCTCAAATTATCTCGTTAATTAATCTTTAATCCTTACACATTTAAAAAATTCTTTAGGGTGTGGAAGAAATGGTTGTTTATTGAGTGTTCTTTTTAAAGGTACAATATCAAAGTTTTAAAAATAGTTCTCTAACATTATCCTATTTGTAAGATATAAATAATTTACAAATTAAAAACATCACTTTGGAGTTAACTTACTTGCAATACAGAAATCAGATTTGCATGTTCAAAGGTTTTTGAGGCCAGCTTCACAACTTAAACACTAATTAGTACTGGAAACAAAAGGGAATAAAGGTAGAAAATCTTTTTTTGGTCTAAAATTTCTCAATTAACTACGTGATTTCACACAAGAATAATTTTTGTGTCTCTGTTTTCCATCTAAAATTTCAAAATCCTTCTAGGTAGTTTACAGTCTCTTGATGCTGGAAATATCTGTTGAGAAGACTTAGAAGAGTGATAGGATGAAAGCTCTTCATAAAAGTAAAGATAGGCAAAGTAGGTGACTGCTGAGACACAGAGATCAAGCAAGAGGCTGTTATGATTGCAATAGAGTGGAATGGAAGCAGGCAGCAAGGAAATAATAAATAGTCCACATGGATAAAATCAACAAGAAAAGTAGGTATTCAAGCCCAGCCAGGACTACTTAGTAAGACCTTGTCTCAAGAAGGTGGGGGGAGGGGAGGTGAAAATGAAAAGAAAGATGAAAAAGTAAAGAAAAGAAATGAGAAGAAGAGATGTTATTCCTTAAGTGTGAAAAATCTCTGGACTGGCATTAACAGAGAACAAGACTAGAGTGTAAATTCGGAGAAGACAAGAATAAAGATGTTCTATCAAAATTTCTGGAGATATCAAAACATTTTTCTCTAAGAACACACACTGGCAAAAATCTCTAAGATACAAAATTTCTATTAACTCAAGTTTGTAGTTCCTTTCAAATATAGGAAAAATGTTTTTATGTAAAACATATTTGCATGTGAATAAAGTACAAGAAAACATACGCCAAACTACAAAACATTGCTAGGGAAGAGGAAGTGTTGTTAGAGTACTTTTAGTTTCTATTATACAATAATTTCCCCTGCAATATATAATGCTTTTATGAAAAAAAGATTCAAATCAAAATACAAATTTCTTATGAACAAAATTTTAGATTAATAGAATGCTGTTATTTAGATGGATTAGTTTTATGGGCACTAAAAAAAGCTTCAAGTCATTTTGCTGTCACACTAATTATTAAACTAAAACTGGGTAGTGTTCTTTTAATAATATAGTATTTTAGATTGCTGGTAGAAAAAATAAAAATGAAAACATTATCTAACAAGATCCTAAAGCTGGGGAAAAGTGTTAATTCAAATTTATACTGAATGTAATTATGTTAGTTGGCTTTTTCCCTAAGTTTTACAAATTGCACTTAATTCCTGCTTTTATCCATTCTACAGTTATAATTCAAATGACATTTCAATAAAAACAAGCCAAAAATAAAGATTCCATATTATCTTCAAAGACAATCTAACCAAGAGATGGAGGGAGGAGGAAAGGAGGGGAGGGGACAAGGGAATGTAAAGAATTAAGAAGTGTTATGTTCATGTACCAACTCCCCACAACGAATGTAATTATTACATACTGCACACATGTACTAATAAAAGTAAAAAAATTAAAACAACAAAGGCAATCTAGATTTCTTGAAGAAAATATTAAATATCCATTGCGGTAATACTATAAATCTAATTTGTTACCTCCCTTTAATAATGCATAAAGAGGGAAGAAATCTTCTAATACAAATGCATAAAATCTCCACTAACTTTTATGCATTCATATTAAAATCACAATGAAGAGGGCTGGGGATTTAGCTCAGTGGTTTTGCCACCTGTTGCGCAAGCGCAAGGACCTGAGTTTGATCCCCGGACCCAAAAAAAAAAAAAAATCAATGCAGAAAAATCATATCCATTTCATACACACACACACATATATATACACATATATATATAATTCTGTCTAGCACTAGTCAGCATTTTAGACTTGAATTTTTACTAACAGAAGCTGCTTATGAAATACAGTATAAATGTTGGGCGTTTTGGTTTCAGATAGTGAACTAAACACAAACTATAATATTTCCCCTCTTTCAATCTACCAATTTAGTAGAAAAGATAACTGTAGTGAAAAGAAAATAGTACTAGAAGAGACAGTATATCATCAGGAGGTAAGAAATTTTGAAGAATCTTGAAAGATCGTAGGTAGGTTCATACGGATAAAAGAAACCACTGTCAAGAAAAAGCCCAATGCATCAAATATGGTACAAAGACCTAGATAACCAGGACTCCTATACAGCGTTCCTAATATATAGCATCCCATTCTCCTTACCCCATCACAGTTTCATTAGCTTGAATTTTGGTCCTAATGTTTTTCTTCAGGGAACAATAATTTCTGATTAGGATTTATCAAAGACTTGTAACATCTCTTAGATGTATTTCTGATTGAGCCCTGCTTCCAAGTGGTTTTCTAATATGGGTCTTTATATGGCAAACTTTATGAGACAAATATGCCTGAGAATATTTTATTTCATTCACATCTGAGAAGAGGGTTTAAATTATTTGGTTCAAAGCTGTTTTCTTTGGGTAGTTTTTACTTTACTATCTTTTCCCATTCAATATTGCTGTTAAACTGTTTGATAAACATCTATCTACTCTTTCTCTGAAATCTTTCTGAGTTTTCTCTATGTCTTTAATGTTCATATATATATATATATATATATATATATACATATACATATATATTTTTTTGGTACTGGGGATTGAACTCAGGACCTTGTGCTTGCAAGGCACACATGGTGCCACTGACCTAAATCCCTGGACCTCTTAATTACATTCTAACATACCCAAAGTATGCAGTTTCCCTTTGTCTAAATTGGTATCTCATGAGTTCTTTCACCAACTGAAGCCTTTCATCATTTTGAATTCTGGCATATTTACCTAAATTATTTAATTATTTTACCTTCTTAAATTTTTATTTTTCTCTCTCCCCAGAACTCCAAGATGTTGGCATTTGTACAACTAATCTCCATATCCCTCAGTTTTTCTTTTGTATTTTCTATCTCTTTACCTTATTATTTCTCCTGTTTCTTTCTGAAAGTGTATATCAAATCTTTCAAATGATTGACTCACTCTGATCATCCTGTTTATATTTGTTTTATTCATTTCAACTAAATTTATCTAATATTTCTATTTGATTCTGATCTTATGATTTAAAGATCTTATTTCATCTTACCACTATAGTATGTTCCCTTGTATCTTTAAGTACAGTGTATTGATTATTTTCATAATTTAGAGGGTTTTGTTTTTGTTTTTAAATATCATACCATGAATTCATAGGGAGCAGGTTCCAGCAGCTCAGGCTCCTTTCTACTGCTCCTCACAAAGTGTATTTCCCTGTGTGGAGCAAGTTTGTGCTTCAGCTGAACTCAGGTACCTTTCTCTTTGGTTTCTGTTTTCTAATCATTTTCCTCTATGCATTTCAGAAAGCTATTTTGGCTCTTAAAAATGCTGGATATGCTCAATACACACATTAATTTTCTTGGCAGGAATCTTGCCCTTGTTTATAAAAATCTCAACTGAATAGTACTAAGCAACACTACAGACTCTTCTACTTTTGCTACAGTAACATTTGTGTGGTATTCCTTTTTCAACAATATTGTTCCAGATGTGTACAAAACCATTTTTCTTACAGATTCACATATATTTCACTAAGGGAATAACTCCATAGTGCACAGTAACATTTTTCTTGTAGATTCACATGTATGTCGCCAAGGGAACAACTCTATATTTCCTAAAAGTCCTAGAAAACATACATCAGTGCCTCTTCTCTTTCCCTTGTGTTCATCGTTTCAATGAATTATTGAAAGATGGAGATTCTGGGCAAAAGCCAATCATATTTATTTTAAATTCTTGCTGTATTCACTTTAATAGCTCTGCTTTAGATCATGTAAATTATAAATTTACTGATTTCTTTTTAAATAGTTGTAGTCCTCCACCGTCTCTAGTTATGTTGATCCGTGAAGCAGTGTTATTCAGGGAGTCAGCTATTCTGAAAAGATATACTGGGAATGGCTGAGGTCAGGCTTGAACTGACATCAGTACCCTGTAACTTTAAGGAAGTGGAGTTGAAGAGCCATAGGGTAGTTAAGTGAAGGCACAAAGAACCAGTTTATCCTGAGTGGTATCATGTTCTTTGCAAGGATTTCATACTTTAAACCTTTGAGGTATGTAGGCAGCAGTTTCTCCAGACTAAAGGGAGAAGAGAAGAAGAAATGAACTACTGAGAACAAATGTCAGTTCAGCTCTTTTTCATCCACTCTGAAGCCAATAGGGTTTCTGCAGTGTTGTACTGTTACTCTGGATTCTGATACCAGTGGAATGGGTTGTTATTAGTTGTTTTAACAGTGAAAGGATAAGAATTACCTCCAGGTAACTTGGGGGCAAAA